TCACTCAGATATTGATTAAGCTTTTTGCGCTCTCTTCCATCTAATGTATGAGTGCAGTCTCAAAAATAATACTCACGAAATGTGAACTCTATTCGAAAGGGCTTACGGTTTCAAATCTATTGTTCCAAGACAAACACAACACTACTTCGTAGTTTTAAATTTTATTTTAGACACCAATCTATTATTTCTGTAAACCTTGTTAAACTTTGCTATTTTCAAGTAAATCAACTGTTTTACTTCTTTCTTTTTAAGGAAAAGGGTGTTAATCAGTCACACGAGTCTTTAAAAAGGTGTTACATTACAACACGAAGCGCTTTTCAGACAGCGTATACCACCTATGACGCACCTGTTGACACCTATGAAATGTTTACACGCGCGACCGTCAATATTTACTCTTCCAAATTGAAACGGTAAAGTGAAAAAAAAATGCCACTAAAAGCAAACGGGAACTTGTACAAAGGGCCTAATGTTTATGGAAAGTCGGCACGCGAGCGATCAATTGACTCAACGCAGAGATGACAACGAGTTGTTATGATTTAAGACGACAATCGTTCCACTGCGCGCTAAACGAGGGTCATTGTCGATATGACATTTACGTCGCCTACACAATCGAAGCGATGCTCCCTCGGACCGACGGCCATACGGAACGATAAAGCTCTTACGTCCGACGTCGATAGAGAAAAAAAACGACCACAATCCGGTCAGGTAGCCGGGCCTTTGTGAGCATTGTGAGTATTGTGATCTAAGACGCTATGAATACACCGATTTAGACGCGAACAGGTGGCGCTTTGATTGGCGCTAGCGACTTCCTCCTTGGTTTATTTTGCACTTTTAGGAGTTCGACGAACGCTTCTCATTATTCTAATGTTATTCGAGTGGCGTGAAAGCGCTTCGATAACCTCGACGGACGAGACATGAACAGAATGACTGATAAACGATGTATGCTTAAATCCCGGACCGCAGTATCGCTCGCGTCCAATTGAAACCTCTACGCTGTTGTAATAGAGGCTAGAGACTATAACTATGCGCTCCGCCAGTACGAACGTACACAAGCTAATTTCCATTGAGTTAATGCGAAAGCAACGCGGATCTAAGGAATCATTCTCTGACCAAATGTTGGAGCACTGCTACAGTATTACATCATTATTACCAACAGCACACACAACCAGAGCTGCTGAATACGGAGCGTTGTGTAAAATCGACCGTCGAGTTAAATTTTATTAATGGTAAACATCGTCTTCGGTCGACCTGCGTTCGGGCAATTTTACGAGGAAGTGACTTTGAATGGTTGCAGAATGCTTCTGTTGTTCAAGTTCCCCCATAACGTTTCTGTTTACAGCTAGTCTATCGACCTCACCTAATTTGCTAGGAATGCTTGACGATGCATCTTAGTGCCGCTTTTGTAAGCCATTAAGTTGAAGAAGCGAATATCCCGATACACCGATTATCTCTGCGATTTGTCAAGGTAGCAACTGGGGGTATACGGTCACTGATAGGAGATGGCGGCGGGCGATAGCTGCAGAAACGCTAGTCGACCCACAGACAGGCCTCTCTCGGCTCGCATTCCGATGTAAATTGCCCGCGGTCGCAGCAGAGTACTGGCGCCGCAATGGATAATTACGCACCACCGACGACATCCATTACGGAAGATAATTCAGCGGGCGCAATTAGAGGATGAGTCGTGATTCGATCAGCGGCGGCGATGCAGGCGATAAAGTGAGCTAAAGCAATATAAATTAACTATGCCCACAGTTATTAAGACTCGCTGCGGGCGACTGCTTAACATTCCACACAACTGCACCGGTTATGATCCTAGAAACGCGTTACGGCTTCGCCATGTTAAGACTAGTAATAAGCTATCTTTAGTTACCTGCCCCAGCGATGAGTGTAATGAGTCGTCCGACGTGGTAACTCAATTGGAAACTACAAATCGTCGATCCAAATTATCGAATAGCGGACATCGGAATGCCGCAACAAGGCCGCCAAATAGCCTTGCTTTTTCCGCGTCATCCAATCAGCATAAAGCCTGTTACGCTGGCTTCAATCCGAATAGCAGAGAAACCGGCTGCGGCGCGAGCCACAAACATTATTAATGTAATAAAGTACTAGATAAAGCGGACCCGGACAGCGTGTGAACGCTGAGAGAAAGCCGTTGTCGCAACATTAGTTTGTCGCTCATTACCATCCGATAGCTGTTCAAATCTTTTCGAGACTCCGCATGTTTGGCTGCATTCATCGAAAGATTCACGATCGTAAAACTTTATAGCGTTTTAATGATACCGCGCACGTACACGTATCAAAAGTATTACTAATTCTAAAAAGGGCTTGATGATTAAAAGTTTATCCTTAAAAAATGCTGATGCACAAGATACGTGTAATGCAATGATAATTTACTAGAAATAGCAAGTCTTCTTGTAAACTATCTCGCAAGACGATCTAAATTGGATCTCCGATCAGAAATTAACGAGCACGCTGAATGAGCTCAGGACTTGTAATCAGAAATGTCTCATTGCGTTGTTGGTTGTGCAATGAAATTGAAGGGTCGGTGAACACGCGGTATCGTCGATATCTCTTAAAAGGATTCTTTGCAGTGCAGCCAGCGTTCATTCCCGAGAACATTTCAATCGCGATGCTCGGAACCGGCTCGCGATGGGATCGTACCACTTTTTTTAATATTTACTCTTCTCTTTATTTCCTTATAAATCTGACTTCGGTGATAAATAACAAACATTGCGAAATTGCATCACATTTTAATATAAATACCAGTAAATAATAAATTAATTGGAGGCTGGAGTTGTATAAAATTGATAAATATCTTTCTTTTCAAATAATTACTACAGTCTATCGAGATCTAATTAACGCTTCATTAGAAGCACGTGTCTAAGGGTGGCCAATAGTAACTAACCCCTTAAAAGCGTGACGTGTTGATCAAATGATTCATCACATCTTCAACAAAATAAACTTTTCAATAAACGTGCTGTGATTATTCACTTAACTACTGGCTTGCAATAAATGCGAGGGAAGAAACCGCAGAAGTAAAAATCCACAATCGCCATAGTAAATCTATGTAATAAAATCAAAAAGTAAAAAAGGATAAGAAGCTCTTTTCTTTATCTTATGTTTTATCCCATACATGTGAGCTCTGTCTTCGACTCATTAGTTAAGCTATCCCGCTTTGCCCTCGCTCTATCTCGCTTTTACCCGACTTCGGAGAGCCATTTATCAACATCCAAATAACATGCCGGGACCTTTTCTCTTTTGTTTATTTGTTTTTTATTTACCTTATCCTTCGGTGATCCTTTGTGTTTTCTTTTTTATTTAAAATTGATTGTAAACTGGAGCTAATGGTATCCGTATAACATTATGTAGTACGATGAATTGATAACGCTAATTGTGCAGCTTTAAGTTAATGTATAAACCAAAACTAAAATGAGCGTAAGTACGTTTCTATTCGTACACAATTCAGAACGATAAAATGGCTGTGAAACAAAACAAACAGAATCCACGTTTGTAATAAACGCATTGATGTTCCAATACTGCAGGTAGTTCTGCATACAAAAGCTATTAAAAGGACCATTTAAAGGTTTCCAATTTCCTTCGCAAGAGTTCGGTTATTAAGCGTTGTTGTCTTTTTGCGCACTCAAGCTGACTTTTTATACTTCTTAATTATTTATTTATTACTGGAACTGGTCGGTCGCTTCGACGGCCTCTCGTCGGCGTCCACCCAGGTTCAAGAAATGAACACAAAAGGAATTCTCAAACTTTTTGCATCAAATCAGGTTACTGATTGGCTTCAAGTCGCGACTGATTTCCAAGAGAAATGCGCTTTTCTATTCGTTGATTTATTTTATTACAATAAAAACCGATGCAGTATGCGTTTAAAATCTGATTACTCTCGAGTGGCATTTTTATTATTTGGATACTTAACCGGTGTCCCACCAGCGTCGTCGTCAGCCGAATCACCAATCATTAAAAAATTAGAAATGAAAAAACCTGATACCGTGGACGGTGAAGATATCCGAAAGATGCCTGGCTTCAGGGGGGGTCTCCCAAGTTTCCTTGGGCCAAAAGCAAATAAAGCCGCGTCCCTCTGAAATTAATTTTGTTTTGTTTTATCGTCTGGAGCCGGGGCATTTACATTGAATGCGGTCAGAGGCTGGCCGTTTGTGAGATATTTATGTAGGGGCCCGTAGAGTATGACGTGCGCATTATTCATACACGATACGCGGCACGGACCAGCTGTGTGTTATTTTTACCGGTTCATCGTCTTGTCGTCAGTTTCCATGGAAGACGAGACGCATTTTATTGAAAAGGAATGTTTTTATTATGTTATTATGAATTCAATCATACCGATGCAGTGGAAGTCTGACCGAGAACAAAGATTTTCATGTTTCGAAAGTTATGTTCGTGGCTATGTCCGAGACCGCAGAAACTTCTCTCTTAAATTTTGCGATGCATTCCGTGGAGGAGATTTTAATGGTTTATACTTTAACTGCTGCATACGTCGTAGGCGTTGATGTTTGCACTGAAAACTTAACGTCAATGCAGCAAGGTAAACTTGGGTTGGGCAAATCGGTTGCCATCAAATTTTACGATAGAAGCAGGCGCCACGGCGTCGACAGCTGTGATTGCATTCACATTCAACGTTTCGTTTTGCATTTGCAAGTCATTTCCTGTGGCTAAATTATCGCTTGCGTAAATAGAATTGTCCGCGTTTCCGCAATTATTATTTTATACATTTCTCCTGATGCTATTGTAAAGTTAACTGATATTTTCATTTACACTCTTGTTATTACTGAGATCTCAAGTTGTGAATCAGCTAATTGGCTTCATTAGCATACTTTATGCCCTAACAAGTTCCGCTTTTTGTGTTTCATCGTTGTTTTTAGTATTATCTGATTGAGGTTAAAAAAAAAATATTTTTATTCTTGATGATTTTTTTATAGATTTTAACTAGATCCTGTGGATTCTCCTTACTTAAAATTGCGTTTATTTTTCCAGATGCCAGATCTGAAAATGATGCCGATGGCGTAAGGTGTTACTGCAATACAGCTGAATGTGTCTCGACTGGCTACATGTGCCGGTCTCCGCGTGAAGGTGGCTGCTACAGTGAACTGGTGCCAAGAAGAACTAATCACGCCAGGCACGGCTGCTTACACCACCTAGCTGAAACGTAAGTCGAATATGCTTTTATCAAATGATTACTGTAAAAATTGGCTACTTAATTCAACGATATTAAAAACTGTTTTTAATATTGTTGACTTAATTGAATACAAACTCAATTAGCAGCCAATTTTGAATGTAAAAAATCTAAATATCACTGCGATTCGCTTGCAACATATCGTCAAACATCTCAACACAAACTCTTGTATACTCTTGTACAATTAAACTTTTTAATTATACATATTATATAACGAATGCATTGTTTAAATATTCAAGCGAGCGCCGATGTACACTTACAGCTCGCATAAATTAACCCAAAGTTAAAATACTAATCAACATTTTAAGGCATACCATTAATGTCCAATATTTAGTGATGGATGATATTTTATGCTCGCAAGGCTAGTGAACCACTAATTAAACCGATTTTCAAATATTTTCAAAATGATCAACCATCAAATTCTCTCATTCTACCTTATGGTACAACTGTATTACGCGTCAAATCAACCATAACTTTGTTAATAGCAAATCAAAAGAAATCAGATACCGATCTTCTTTGGATATGTCTGACCGATCGAGATACCTTAAATCAGCTATACTCTAAGTGTGTTCCGCGGAACCCTAGGGTTCCGTGATACCTCTGTCGGGGTTCCGCAAGAATTTAGAAATAAAAAAATCAAAACACCTCTCTCTGGTCGCTCCGCGGCTGTGCGGACTCCGCGGCCGCGCGGAGACAAAACGCTATGAATGTTATTTATTTATTTATTTGTATTTGTATAAGCTTGTGTTACATTAGCTGGTACAATATCTCATAAGTTTGGTCTCAACAATTTTATACTTGTACAACGCGTTCGCTCTAAGTTTGCCGGTCTGTGGAATGCGCGTACCCTCCCCCACGTGACAACAAAACTTATAATGTGTCATAGTTTTACCCAAATATCTAACGTACACAATTTTTATTGTTACAATTAAATAAAAAATTTCGAACGTCATACACTCATACCTATCGCCAGCGGCAAACTTAAAACGAGCGGGTAGTATACTTGTAAGCGCTCAGTCTCTTTGATAAAAGCCGCCTCTGAATTAGACGCTATAGTTGTCAACTAGCGACTTTCGTCTCTAACTTCAAAGGATAAAGTCGATATTGTTTACAACGCTATTTTTAAATTTCTGTTTTTATTTTTGCTTTTTGTTTATCAAAGGTGCCGACTCGAGTATTTTCGAGAATATTTGAGATCGAGTCTAGGACTAAGTATAAAAGCGGCGATCGCGCGTTGGCGTCGTCAGTTGATGATTAGCGTTCGGAGCGATAAGTTACTACCTACTTACAAGCTCGCTAGCGAGAAACTGGTGTTCATTGTTTTACTGCCTGCTGTATTCTGTTGTCTCAGTTTTATACATTTCTTCCCTGTAGGTTCTAAATTTAGTCTCTTATACGCAGTAACGATTGTGCATTATTTAAACCCCACTATCCTGACTTGTAACATTATAAATAAAGAAGAATGGAACGTTGGCTTAAAGGTGTTAAACGTGTTCCAACAACATCTTCTAATGACGCTGAATGTTCAAAAGCAATGCGCGCGGAGAATTTAGCAATCACCGATCCAGAAGATGATGCCACGAGTGCCACGACGTCAAGCTCGACGGTTTCAAAGACGAAAAAAAGGAAGTATGATGAATCTTATATCAGTTTCGGATTTGTTGATTCCAACGGCTCACCTCTCTGCATGCTCTGTAGTAAACTGCTTCCTAATAGTTCCATGGCACCTGCCAAATTGCGTCGACATTTAGAAACCGTACACCCCGAGACTAAAGACAAGAATAAAGAATTTTTTGTTCGCAAAAAAGATCAGTTATTAGAAAGTCAAAAAAATATGATGCATGTAACACAAACTACCAACGAAAAGGCCACGGAGGCATCATACTTAGTTAGCTATCGCATTGCACAAGCAGGTGAAGCGCACACTATCGCTGAGAAATTAATAAAACCATGTGTATTAGACATAACAAAATGTATGCTTGATGAAAAATCTGCAAAGCATCTTTCTACTGTTCCGCTATCAAACGATACTGTTTCACGACGAATCCATGATCTGGCAAGCTACGTCAAACAAGAACTAGTTACACGTCTACAAAATACACGATTCGCTTTGCAAATGGACGAGTCGACTGATGTCGCTGGTTTGGCTATCCTGCTGGTTATTGTGAGATATCCATATAAAAGTTCTTTTGAAGAAGACATGCTTATGTGTTCATCGCTGCTTACAAACACTACCGGGGAAGAAATTTTTAATAAAATAAATATATTTTTTGAAGAACATAATCTCAGTTGGAACAATTGCATTGACATTTGTACAGATGGGGCCAAGGCGATGACAGGTAAAACAGCAGGAGCAGTGTCACGAATGAAAAATAAAGCGCCTAATTGTAGTTCCAGTCATTGTATTCTGCATAGACAAGCACTTGCGATGAAGCAAATGCCGTCTAATCTAAAATTAGTTATGGATGAAGCGGTAAAAATAATTAATTTTATCAAATCACGACCACTACAATCCCGATTGTTCTCATTATTGTGTGAAGATTATGGCAGCAAACATAAAACACTGCTGCTCCATACAGAAGTGCGATGGCTGTCTCGGGGAAAAACTTTAACAAGGCTATTTGAACTTAGAGCCGAGTTACAAATGTTTCTTTCAGCAGATACTTCTTTTAATTTGAAGGACCGTTTGTATGATAAAACTTGGTTGTTCCGATTGTCTTTTATGGCGGATATCTTTCAAAAACTTAACGAATTAAATTTATCATTGCAAGGTAAACAGACAACAGTGTTTCAGGCCTATAATAAAATAACTACTTTTAAAAGAAAATTAGATTTTTGGATCATTTGCATTGGTAAGAAAGAAATAGAAAGTTTTACGTTACTCACTGAGTTTGTTAGCGAAAACGACTCAGAAATGTTTGAAGATAATGTGTTTGAAGAATTGGTCCAATATCTCAGTTCGATGCGCGCATCTTTTGAAAAGTATTTTCCCGAAGAACACAATACAAAAATTAAAGTGAACTCCTGGATTCATAATCCTTTTTTACCCAACTTGGAAAAGCCTGAAAACATGTCAAATGAGATATATGAATCTCTTTTAGAAATGTCATCAGACACAAGTATGGAGTCATTGTTCAAAACGACGCCTCTTAATGATTTTTGGTGCAGAATCCAAGATGAATATGCAATGCTTGGCCAAATGGCTCTGGATATTCTTCTCCCGTTCCCAACTACATATTTGTGCGAAACAGGATTCTCTACCTACGCAGCCACGAAAACAAAATATCGCAATAGACTGGACGCCGAAGCTGATATGAGACTCCAACTTTCTTCCATCAAACCTGATATCAAGCAATTGATGAAAAATAAAAAACAGTTTCATACCTCCCACTAGTTAGATTTTTTCTTTTTTAATGTTTTCTATTATTGTCCTTACCAAGTGGTGAAGTAAATAATAATTAGTAACGGATACATTGTACTTTTATTATGCTGATTAATATAGAATACACTTATAAAAATAATTGTTTTATTGTAGGGTTCCATCAAGTATTTTGCTTCCCAAAAGGGTTCCGTCATTTAAAAAGTTTGAGAACCACTGCCTTAAATGCTCGACTGATTGTATTACATGTGATTAAAACCAAAAAGAATTAAAACACGATCGAAAACATTTAAGAAGAATTTCGTAATGCCTTCACCGTCAGCAAATCAATAGATTTCTTTAACGAATTCCGCTCCGACTTTGATTCTGATTTACACAAATTTGATAGCGGCTTATGTACATAATCCTCATTAAACTTTCGACTGTTTCTAAGCGCTGCGTTATCATGATTTGTGTAATAAGACGTTCGTATTTCTGTTTCCTGAGTTTCATGTTAACTTTCATCATGGAATTAATTATCAATTCTTTTGTTGGCTAGAGACGCTATGTCATCCATCAATTCCACTTATCATGCTTGGGAACCCGAGGCTTGCCTAATTTATCTATAGACCATTTCGAATATATTCAATCAAATGGTCTTCGGACATAAGGTACCTACAGCTACGATTTTGTCATCTTCATTTTAGAATTTATTACTTGTTAAAACAGTATTGGCTTTTCATTTTTAATAAGATAAAATCTTAATTGTTATTTTATTAACATTATCCACGTCATTAAACAAGTTGTGGATAACTTAAGTTTATCATTTAAGTGTTGGTGCTTATAGCTTTTGTCTATCGCATTTACGAACAGGCTGGCAGCTAGGGTCGGTGACCTCACAGCTGTGATATCTGGTCTCTTGACCCCTTCTACCCTCCAGCCATCCTTATCAACGAACTAGGACACTAGCAACCGCACTTCATTATAAACAACTCAAAATTAATTACGACTCATTTACGTATTATTGTTGACTGTAGTTTGCAATGTAATTTAATGTGTCCCTAATCGAGCATGTTTTATGACCCCTTCATTCTATTAACTTGAATTATGTCAGTTATTACTACCGAAGAAAGCTTTCTTCTTTGGCTTTTACAAATTTCGTTTTTATTAAGAAAGAAGATCAATTCTAGCTATTTATTCCCTTTCTATTCCTTATCGACAAGCTTAATTCTAAAAGTTTGAAAGGAACCCATTAATTTTGTTCTCGGTATATTTCAATCTGAATTGAAGCAACCTTAACGAACCGAGCCCTGCGATCGTTAACCAAGATAATGCTCTCGAAGAGATTGCCAAAAACGAGCAAAAATTATTTAAAACAAATAAAATGGGCATGCGCGGTCGCCCCATCCCAACCTGTTTGAACGCGGCCCGGGCCGACGCGAATAAGATTATATTATCGATACAGTTCAAACGAACATTCAGTTGGTAATCTCGAATAATTGGGGTACATCATAAACTTTTTTTTACTGATTTCAACTCGCAAAAAGCAAGGTACGGCAATAAAAATTCAATAATGATGTGTTGAATGTGGATTCACATGGAGGTTTTTAATGGC